CTTCACAAGCTTGAATTCTGCTGGCAGGGGAGTTGCAACCTTGCGCTCATTCTCAATCCCATACTTCTCCCCCAGCTCCTTGATGAACTTCTCCTGGTGCAGCTTCAACCACCTGTGATCTGGATCCCTCTCCACGTGCATCCCGAGGTAGTACTTTACCTCCCCAAGGTTCTTGCACTTGAAGTTTTCCATCAGTTGCTGCTGCACTTTCTGGATCTCCTTCATGCTGCTGCTGAAGAGAAGAATGTCGTCCACATAGACCAGAAACAGCACCAGCTTCTCCCCCTCGCCCTTGAGAAAGAGGCTCTCATCACAGCTGCTGGTCCTGAATCCCATCTCCTCTAAAACAGCTGCCAACTTCTGGTACCAGCAGCGTGGCGCCTGCTTCAAGCCGTAGATGGACTTGTTGAGCTTGCACACCCTGCCCGTACCATCCTCATACCCAGGCGGCTGCGTCATGTACACATCCTCCTCTAAAATCCCATTCAGGAATGCCGTTGAAATATCCATCTGAATGATGAATTTCCCACTAACAGCTGCATCTGCCAACAAGACACGGAGGGTAGGGGGTTTGGCAGTGGGAGCAAAGATCTCGTTGAAGTCCTGCTTCTCCTTCTGCATAAACCCCTTCGCCACCAGCCTACTCTTGTAGATGGTGACCTGCCCCTTGTCATCGGTCTTGATCCTCAGCACCCACTTGCATTGTATCGCTTTCTTCCCATCAGGCAGCACCACCAGATCCCATGTCCTATTCTCCAGCAGACTCTGGTACTCAGCATCCCTAGAAGCCAGCCACTTGTCCCTATCTGGTCCAGCTAATGCCTCCTCCATGCTAGCTGGTTCCTCTGGTGCAGGGGCAAGAAAACAGTACGCAGGCTCATCCTCCTCATCCGGGTCATAGCCATGAGGTAGAATCAGCAATGCCTCTTCGGTCCCTAGCTGCTGCTCTGCTGCATCAGTTCCTGCAGTCAGCTTCTTAGTAGCCATACGGGTACGTCCTGGCCTGGAGACGGGTGTCTCCCATCCCTTCATAACGACACCCTTCGGCTTCTTAGTTTTTCCCTGCTGCTTCTCTCCTCCCTCGGGTCCAGCAGCTCCACTAGTGCTGCCGCCAGTTTCCACACCATTTTCTCCACCAGCAGATGCCTCCTGTATCTTCTCTCCATCACCATTTCCAGCAGCTGCCTCCTCTCCCTCCTCCCACACACTAGGAGTCAGGTCCAGCTGCATGGTGATCTGCTCCATCTGCTGGGACACCCTTGCCTCCGGCTGTTTCTCCCAGCTCCCATACATCATGCCCTCAATGAATTTCACATCCCTGCTGTCAAACAACACACCCTTGGATGGTTCCCACAGCAGCCATCCCTTGCTCTCAGCAGCCAGCCCCAAATGCACACACCAGATTGCACTCGCCCCCAACTTACTGCGGTAGGTCTTGGGAACGTGGGCGACTGCCATGCAACCGAACACCCTCAGCATGTCCACCGGCGGCTTCCTCCCAAGCCACCTCTCCAACGGCACCCACGAGTCATCCCCAACCTTGGTGAGCACCCTGTTCCTAGCGACAGTGGCGTGCCGGACAGCATGAGGCCACATAGAATTGCTCAGCCCAGATTCTATGAGCAGCGCCCTAGCTGTCTCCAGAATGGTCCGGTTTGCCCGTTCTGCTACACCATTGGACTGTGGGGTATAAGCCGTGGTCAGCTCTCTCTGGATGCCCTGCTTCTTGAGCCAGGCCGTCATTTCAGCTCCAAGGAACTCACCACCCCGGTCTGTCCTAATCCGCTTCACTACACACTCCGCCTGCTTCTCCACGAATGGCAGCCAATCGTCCCGTATCGTGGAGGCGGCGTGGTCCTTCTGCTTCAGCGGATACGCCCACATCAGCCTGCTCCAGTCATCCACAATTGTAAGAAAATACCGCTCCCCCTTGTGCCCTTGCACCGGCAGCGGCCCCACCAAGTCCATGTGGACCAGCTCCAAAGGCTTCTTGCTCCTGCCAGCCACACTATGGAAAGGGAAACGGGTGAACTTTGAAAGCAAACAGATTTCACAGTTGTCATCGGGTGGCTGTCCGTTCAGCTTCAGACCCTTAACGGCTCCATCCTTCTCCAGCTGCTTCAGCAAAGGCATTGCCACATGCCCTAAGCGCCGGTGTGCCGTTGCCCAATCTGTCTCCCCAGATCTGGCCGACACTTTCACACCAACCCCTCCAACGGCATTGCACTCCCCCTGGGATGCAGACCCCTCTCCAGCCTGCCCCCCACCATGCCACGCCAGGGCCGGCAGCTGCCACATAGATCTGTACACGTCCTTGCTCTCGTGCAGATCCCAAAGCACCCGATTGCCCAGCTTCCCCTTATAAGTGCGTGCCCCATCCGTGTTGGTGTTCACCCCAGCCTTGCCAAGCTTACGGAGGGAGATAAGGTTGGCCTTCAGGTCGGGGACGAAGAGAACGTCGTGCAGCACCACCGGCTTGCCATCCGCTCCCTTAAACGCAGCTCGTCCCGCACCAGCCACCTTCAACATGTGTCCAGAGGCGGAGCACACTTCATTGATCGGTGCAGCTCGTACTTCGTCCAGCAGGTCCTTGCGCGGCGTCATCGTCCAAGCAGCGCCTGTGTCCAACACCCAATAGTCTAGGGGGTGCAGCTCTGCTCCAACTTTGGCAGAGGCGTCTCCTTGCTCCCCCTTGTCTCCCACATGGAAGAATTGGCCCGCGGTGCGCTCCTTCTTCTTCTCCGCACCGCCGTTGCCCTTCGGGTTGTTGTCGGACGAATCAGCGACCATGTTGGCGCCGTTTTTCTGGTTCCTCCGCGCGCCGCCATCCTGGTGACGATTCTGGGGGGTCCATCCATCGGGTTTCTTATAGCACAAAAACCAGGGGTGCCCTTCCTTCTCACAATACCAGCAACTCCTTTTCATTTTGCCACCAGCACCCGACTTGCCCCCACGTCCAGATTTCGCACCACGACCCCAACCGGTACCTCCTTGTTGGTCGTTGGAGTCGTCGTCCTTCTTTGCACCGCGCCCAGCACCACCGAAGCCACGTCCTCTGCCACGTCGGCTCCCTTGCATCCCGTAGCCGCTGCTGCCGTCGTCTCCACCCCTCAGTTGGCGGCGACGGAAGTCCTCCTCCAGAGTCTTCGTCCGCACCCACTCGAGCGTCCACAAGCTCTGGTTCTGCGGCAGGCTCAATCCGCTCGTAAATTGAAGCCACGATTCTGGCAGCAGCGAGAGCATCTTCAAGCACTTGGTCTGCTCCGGGTAGGTGATTCCCGCGGTCGCCAACTTCGCGTAGAGGTCGCGCATCTTGTCCAGGACTGGTTGCACCGGCTCTCCCTCGCTCAGGCGCAACGCGGACAGCTCCCTCTCCAGCATCAACGTTGCGACAACGGAGGTCGGGGCGTGCAGCTCCTTCAACACGGTCCACGCCTTCGGACCGCATTCAACCTCCGGCAGCAGGTGCATGACGTGGTGACGCTGGTTCAGCTCCAAACTCTGCGACATCAAATAGTAGCCAGCCGAGGAGCGCTCGTCCCAATCTTCCTGCAGCGTGGGGTCACTCGGTCTAGGCTCCTCCCCAATCATTAGTTTCAGCAAACCGATCTGACGGAAATATAATTGCATTTTCCAGGCCCAATCATCATAGCCCTCACCATTGAACTTCTCGACGGTGAAATTCTTCAGCACCTCCTTGACAAGCGAGCCCTGGTTTGTTCGCGCTCCCCTTGGCGCTGAAAGACCAGAATCTTGGCTGCCGCTACGATCTTGGGCTGAAGATTCACCAGCTCCCGCCGAGGTGTTGCCCGCCATAGCTACCTATAACGAGGATCACTATAACGCAGCTCTGATACCAGCTTGTTGGTGTAAGGGCCTAATAAACTCAAGCTATTAGGACTTAATCAAACTTAAAACCTCTCCTCGGGGTCACCTCCAAGGGTCCCTGGGTGCCTGGTACAAGACCAGCCCCTATCCTCGGGTCCGAGTTTGTAGAGAGAGGGATCAAGAAGGACTTAGTCAAAACAGCAAGAGTACCTTGAACGTCGCGCAGCGTGCCGTGCAGACCGTCGATCGGATTAAGCTGAGAATTCGCTATATCGAAGCTCGCTCCAAGAGCTTTAAAATGAGCCAAGTTGCCTCGCGAAAAGTTCTGCCATTACGAAGTTATGGCTCGGACAGCGTTTGCCTAGCGTTGGAGTGCTAGCATACTAGCGTTGACTCGGGTAGTATTCCGCCGTCAAATAGCGCAGAAACGAAATTCCAGCGAGGAAGGAATTCACATGAATCAATTTGACTATATTCAGGTACAAACAGAGAAGGATTAAATAGTTCTAGCTAGCAAGGACCTTGGGAATCAACCTGGGAACAACCAGGGATGATCCCAAATAATTCCAAGCAACAGAACCAACCTGGCTGGACAAAATAGCAGGTGGTAGGTTGGTAAACAACCTCTGGTTCTGTTTTTCCAACCTGGGAAAACAACAACCAGGTTCAGGTTCTAAAAACAGAACCTGTTTTGTCTTTGCCCAACCAGCCAAATGCTGGTTCCGCTGGTTTCCCCTGGCCTTGTAGCATGCAGATACAGACAAACAACATCCAACCTTCACCTAAATTGTACCCCTATAGTGCCTTCCCTGCTACACTATAGTTAACCAAACATAACAGTACAATTTCGAGTTGGATAGAACTGAATCTGCGCAATCAACTCAACCGAACTGCAAAGCTTCCATCTTGGGTTCCTTTGCGAGCTCGTCCTTTCTGCTTGCACTGTTCATAGCGCGTACAATGTTGTGCCGAAGCGCACATTGCGCGAGTACCTGCAAATGCATCAAGCGAAAAATGCGAAAGCAAACAAACACACGAACACACCATTCACACGCAAATGCATTCGCACACGCATACTCGTACAAACAGACGGCAGGATGTCGTGCAATGTAAATTTGCACCCAACACCCTTTCCTTCTCCATCGCCTGCCCCACCCTGTCCCTTGCTTCCTTCAACCTGGGTCAGTTTCGACCTTCACTTTACGCGCCTTCGATTTGCCCGCTTGGCCGCCACGCATTGCGTCAACCGCCCCGCGTTTCCGGGATTGACCAGACCGGCCCCCAACCTTCCCTGTGCTACTCCCCCGTCTGCCTCGCGCGCCCCGTCCTTTCCCTGCCGGCTCCTCCTCCTCCTCCTCTTCCTCATCCGCCCCTTCCTCCACCTCTTCTTCCTCCACGTCGTCCTCCTCCTCCTCATCCTCCTCCTCATCCTCCTCCTCCTCTTCCTCCTCCTCCTCCTCCTCCTCCTCCTCCTCCTCCTCCTCCTCCTCCTCACCCTCCTCCTCCTCCTCCTCCTCCTCATCCTCCTCCTCCTCCTCCTCCTCCTCCTCCTCCTCACTCTTTTCCTCCTCAGGCTCGTCATCCCCCTCATCGTCCTCCTCCTCGTCCTCATCCTCATCGTCCTCCTCCTTCCCCTCGTCGCCATCCTCATCCTCCTCCTCCTCCTCATCATTGTCGTCCTCCTGCTCATCCTCGTCGTTTTCTTCCTCCCCTGCATCCTCGTCCTCCTCCTCCGCATCCTCCTCGGCCTCCTCCTCCCCATCCCCCTCGTCCTCAACATCCGCTTCACCAGGGCCTTCTTTGCCGCGCTTCGGCCTCTTCCCCCTCGAGGCTTGCTTGCCCCTCCGTCCGCTAGATGGTTTCCGCGGACCAGGTCGGCCCTTTTGCCGCAAAGCATGATCTGTCGCCAAGGCACTTGGCTCCGTGGTGCCTCGCGTTGTCCCAACTTCAGCACCACCGGCGTCGTCACCGCTGGCTGTCGTCTGCCTCCTCTTTGCGCGTATGGGGATGTCCTCGGCCACGGGGGTGTCATACTCCTCCTCCCCATCGCTCTTCCTCTGCCTACGCCTCCCGCGTCCCCCAGAGGGAGGAGATCCACCGACGTCGGCAATGTCGTGTTTCGGCTCCTCCGTGCAATCGTGCGCAGCATTCGTCTCCTTAACTATCACTGCAGCAGATACTTCGACCACGGGCGGGGGGAGCAGCGTCATATGCTGCTGTGATGCCTCTGCCACGGACACCACAGTTGCGGCCTGGTCGTCGCCGGGAGCCTCGCCGTGCTTTCCTCCAGTCGCCAAGCCCTCTCTGTCCCCCGGCCGGACGGCAACACTCACGCCGCCACGCCCAGGGTCTTCGTTCCCGCCGATGGTGCCGTCGTCGGAAGGACCGGGCTCGAGGGCAGCAGTGGCAACACCCGCATCGCTCTTCACGGCCGAAACACGCTTGCGTGCCGTTGGTTGCTTCCCCTTGTCCTCCGCCTTCTTCCCGGACTTCTTCGTTCCAACCTCAGCCTTCTTCCCCGCCGCACGTTTCCTTTGGTTGGTTTGCGCGGCGGCCGCTTTAGTAGCCCTAGATCTGGCCCCACCCTCATGGTCGGTCTGTATCGACATCCGCCGTGTCGTGCGTCGTTTTGCCTGCTCCTTCTCCTTTTCTGTTTGCCGAGTTGCACGTGTCATGAGGGTTGTACGAATGCAAGTTATAACTTGCGGGATTGCTTAGCCAGCTTTAGAAAATAGCCGAAAGGATTGTTACTAATTTACTCCGTCCCGGTCAAGCCAATACTATCTCACCCTAAATCTCAGGTACGGTTACAACTGAAGAAGTAGCTACTAAGCACATGGCGTCAGCCCTTTGCTTCGTCGCTACTCTGACTCACTGGCGATCTGGAAACACCTGTGTTCAGCATCGAGCGGCGTCAAGGTAGTTGGTATGAGGGTGACGGAAGATGGTGAGTGGGGCACGACGGTCGTTGGGGTGGTTTGCGAGTCTAGAGAGGGGACTGTAAGCAGACAGCCACAATCGGACGGTCTACGATTAGCCACCCGATCAATAACCCACTAAACGCGGGATCACAGCCGCTGCTTCCGCGGCGAATGTCCAGCTTGGCTGGTGCGGTTATGGGGAGGGGAGTCGTTTGAGATGAGTCGGCCAATCAGCGCCGCTCGCATCAATCTCCGCAGAATCTAGTACCGTTTCGACACCACCAATCATCGCATCCTGCAAAATACAGTGCCAATGTGCATTGATCAAATTTAAACATAGGAGCAGAATACACTTGCAAAGAACAACTAAAACAATTTGAATTGAACTTGGCCGCTTGTGGTGTCATGTTGTGTTAAGTCTAGGGAGTGCATTTGGCATCGGACACGCTCTTTGACCTACCAACTCGTGGACTATGGAATGTTATACTGAGCACACATTCAGGGTTGGCGACGGATACCGGCCGTTGGAACTTGTTCAGGCACGACGTGTACTAGTGCCAACTGGAATGGAGATGCGGTGTGGTGTTGGCTTGTAAATTCATGCGTGGGCCATCGACATTGTGTATAGAGGGTGTGGAATGAAACACAGGTCCAACGCACAAGCGAGGGTGCGTTATCGACAGCGCTGTTCCAACGCGGCGACGTTGCAGCGTTCGCAGACATCCAGGGCTTGCGCGAGATGGTGAATCCGTTATGGAATGGTGTTGGCTTGGGCTCTATCCTTGCGTGGGCCATCGACAGAGGGTGTGGAATGAAGCACAGGTCCAACGCACGAGCGAGGGTGCGTTGTCGACATCGCTGTTCCAACGCGGCGACGTTGCAGCGTTCGCAGACATCCAGGGCTTGCGCGAGATGGTGAATCCGTTATGGAATGGTGTTGGCTTGGGCTCTATCCTTGCGTGGGCCCTCGACATGGTGTATAGAGGGTGTGGAATGAAGCACAGGTCCAACGCACGAGCGAGGGTGCGTTATCGACAGCGCTGTTAAAACGCGGCGACGTTGCAGCGTTCGCAGACATCCAGGGCTTGCGCGAGATGGTGAATCCGTTATGGAATGGTGTTGGCTTGGGCTCTATCCTTGCGTGGGCCCTCGACATGGTGTATAGAGGGGTGAACACCAACACGGATGGGGCTCGCACTTATAAAGGAAAGCTGGGCAATCGGGTGCTTTGGGATCTGCACGAGAGCAAGGACATGTACAGATCTATGTGGCAGCTGCCGGCGCTGGCGTGGCACGGTGGGGGGCAGGTTGAAGACGGGTCTGCATCCCAGGGAGAGTGCAACACCGTTAGAGGGGTTGGTGTGAAAGTGTCGGCCAGATCTGGGGAGACAGATTGGGCAACGGCACATCGACGTTTGTGGCATGTGGCAATATCTTTGCTGAAGCAGCTGGAGAAGGATGGAGCCGTTAAGGGCTTGAAGCTGAACGGACAACCACCCGATGATAACTGTGAAATTTGCCTCCTTTCAAAGTTCACCCGTTTCCCCTTCCATAGTGTGGCTGGCAGGAGCAAGAAGCCGTTGGAGCTGGTCCACATGGACTTGGTGGGGCCACTGCCGGTGCAAGGGCACAAAGAGGAGCGGTATTTCCTAACCATAGTGGATGACTGGAGCAGGCTAATGTGGGCGTATCCGCTGAAGCAGAAAGATCACGCCGCCTCCACGATTCGGGACGATTGGCTGCCGTTCGTGGAGAAGCAAGCGGAGTGTGTGGTGAAACGTATTAGGACAGACCGGGGTGGTGAGTTCCTTGGAGCTGAGATGACGGCTTGGCTCAAGAAGCAGGGCATCCAGAGGAAGCTGACCACGGCTTACACCCCACAGTCTAACGGTGTAGCAGAACGGGCGAACCGGACTATTCTAGAGACAGCTAGGGTGCTGCTCATAGAATCTGGGCTGAGCAACTCGATGTGGCCCCATGCTGTCCGGCACGCCACCGTCGCTAGGAACAGGGTACTCACCAAGGTTGGTGATGACTCGTGGGTGCCGTTGGAGAGGTGGCTTGGGAGGAAGCCGCCGATGGACATGCTGAGGGAGTTTGGCTGTATGGCAGTCGCCCACGTCCCCAAGACCTATCGCAGTAAGTTGGGGGCGAGTGCAATCTGGTGTGTGCATTTGGGGCTGGCTGCTGAGAGCAAGGGATGGCTGTTGTGGGAACCATCCAAGGGTATGTTGTTTGACAGCAGGGATGTGAAATTCATCTAGGGCATGATGTATGGGGGCTGGGAGAAACAACCAGAGGCAAGGGTGTCCCAGCAGATGGAGCAGGAGGGAGAGGAGGCAGTTGCGGGGAATGGTGATGGAGAGAAGGTACAGGAGGCACCTGCTGGTGGAGGAGAGGCTAGTGATAGCACTGGTGGAGCTGCTGGATCTGAAAGAGGAGAGCAGCAGCAGAGCAAGGGTAAGGTGCAAAAGAGGAAGCCGAAGGGTGTCGTTATGAAGGGGTGGGAAACACCCGTCTCTAGGCCAGGACGCACTCGCATGACAACAATGAAACTGATTGCAGGAGCTGGTGAAGCAGAGCAGCAGCTTGGGAATGAGGAGGCGTTACTGATTTTGCCTCAAGGGTATGACCCGGATGAGGAGGATGAACCTGCCTACTGTTTTCTTGCCCCTGCACCAGAGGAACCAGCTAGCATGGAAGAGGCATTAGCTGGACCAGATAGGGACAAGTGGCTGGCTTCTAGGGATGCTGAGTACCAAAGCCTGCTCGAGAATAGGACGTGGGATCTGGTGGTGCTGCCTGAGGGGAAGAAAGCCGTACAGTGCAAGTGGGTGCTGAGGATCAAGATCGGCGACAAGGGGCAGGTCACCATCTACAAGAGTAGGCTGGTGGCTAAGGGGTTTATGCAGAAGGAGAAGTAGGACTTCAACGAGATCTTTGCTCCTACTGCCAAACCCCCTACCCTCCGTGTCTTGTTGACAGATGCAGCCGTTAGTGGGAAATTCATCATTCAGATGGATATATCAACGGCATTTCTCAATGGGATTTTAGAGGAGGATGTGTACATGACGCAGCCGCCTGGGTATGAGGATGGTACGGGCAGGGTGTGCAAACTGAAAAAGTCCATCTACGGCTTGAAGCAGGCGCCACGCTGCTGGTACCAGAAGTTGGCTGCTGTTTTAGAGGAGATGGGATTCAGGACCAGCAGCTGTGATGAGAGCCTCTTTTTCATGGGGTAGGGGGAGAAGCTGGTGCTGTTTCTGGTCTACGTAGACGACATTCTTCTTTTCAGCAGCAGCATGAAAGAGATCCAGAAAGTGCAGCAGCAGCTGATGGAAAACTTCAAATGCAAGAACCTTGGGGAGGTAAAATACTACCTCGGGATGCACGTGGAGAGGGATCTGGATCATAGGTGGTTGAAGCTGCACCAGGAGAAGTTCATCAAGGAGCTTGGGGAGAAGTATGGGATTGAGAATGAGCGCAAGGTTGCAACTCCCCTGCCAGCAGAATTCAAGCTTGTAAAGGCTGCAGAGGATGAAGGGGTTGAAGCCGAGGAGCAGCAGCAATTTCAGTCCTTGGTGGGCAGCCTCTTGTATGCAGCGGTTCACACGAGGCCCGACATCTCTTTCTCAGTTGGGCAGCTGGCCAAGGTGGTGCTGAATCCATCAGAGGAGCAGGTGGATGCAGCTGAGCGTGTGGTGAAGTACCTGAACTCTCACCCAAGCATTGGAGTTCAATACTTTGCATTTGCACAGGTGAAGCAGAAAGGGGTTGAGGTGCTGAAGGAGAAGGGGGAGAGGCTTGGAGAAGGCAAGCTCTTTCTCACTTGCTTTACTGATTCTTCGTGGGCTTCTGAGAAGGAGGATTCCTCATCTGTGGGAGGATACATCTGCGTAGTTGGGGGTGGACCTGTTAGTTGGAGGTCCAAGAAGCAGACGGAGACGGCAATCTCGTCCGTGGAATCAGAGTACATGGCAATGTTCCATGGGGTGAAGGAGGTGATTTGGCTGAGGAGGCTGTTAGAGGAGATTGGCCAGGAGCAGAAAATTGCTACGCCACTATTTTGTGACATCAAGGGGGCTCTTGAGATGGCCAGGAACGCTGTGCTTCATGGGCTGAACAAGCACATGCGTATCAAGTGGCACTGGCTGCGTAAGAAGGTGAAGAGGGGGACGGTGAATCCGATCTATATCAAGACTCACCAGCAGCCAGCAGACTTCCTCACCAAGAGGCTTGCGGATGAGCCTCATTGGCGTTGTGTGTGCCAAGATTAAGCGCGTTACTTACCCATATGGTTGGTACCAAGAGTAACCACTTTACTTACCCATATAATTGCTACTAAGAGTAGGCGCGTTATTTACCCGTATTGTTGGTGCCAAGAATAGGCGCTTTGCTTAACCATATGGTTGATTCTATGTCTAGGCACGTTACTTACCGAAGTGGTTGCTAGTAAAAGTAAGCGCGTTTTACCCGTATTGTTGGTACCAAGAGGATGCATGTTATTTATCCATATGGTTCTTACTAATAATAAGCGCGTTACTTTTTCATATGGTTGCTACTAAGAGAAAGCGCGTTATTTATCCATATGGTTGCTGCTAAGAGCAATCGTGTTACTTACCCATATAGTTGGTACCAAAGATACGCGCGTTAACTACCAATATGGTTGCTACTAAGAGAAAGCGCAT